TACTAAATAATTAAGACCAAATGGATATTTTTATTAGAATTAGCAACATTCCTTATTCTCACTGATCTAATAATGCTGTATAGTTACATTATTAACTGTCAGCTCATTTAGAAATTGTTGGCTGTTGTATACACACAATAGGTTGGACTTGATGGACTTATGTCTTTATTCAACCTCAAATACTATGTAACTATGTATCTGTGTGTCTCTCTATCTATCTACCTATCTATCTATCTATCTATCTATCTATCTATCTATCTATCTATCTATCATATCTCTACTCTCTATCATATCTATCTATCTATCTATCTATCTATCTATCTATCTATCTATCTATCTATCTATACTCTCTATCATATCTATCTATCTATCTATCTATCTATCTATCTATCTATCTATCTATCTATCTATCTATCTATCTATCTATTTATCTATCTATCCATCCATTCATTTGTGTTATTTTGCCTTTGCTCCTTTCCATCCTTTTCTCTCTCTTTTCTTCCTTTCTAGATGCTATAAATATAATGAAGCCATTTTAAATAAATTTGTAATTCTGAAAATAAGTAAAGATTTGGGATATTGTCCCCATTTAAAACTTTTTTTTTTTGTACCCAGTAAAAAGAACAGTGTTTTAGATCATTTCTAGTTTCAGTCCTCTATCCAAACTTCTGTAATACACATGTATCCCAAAATGCTAAATTCCGATTAAAGATTGTTCTGGACTGGTCAATTATTTAAAGTTAATTTAATTTAGTTTAAAGTTAATAAGCAAACTATTAAAATATATTAATATATATTATATGACAATAATATTGCAATGAACATACTTGAGGAATGCAAGTCTTTCATATCAACCACCAGAAAGAAATAAGTAGACATGCATTTCAATAAGGAAAAAAAACTGTTATGCAAATTGAACTTTTTGGGTATATAAAGATCTCAGTTGGGCAATATGACTTTTAATTGACTATTTTATGACAAAGAGTTGAAATATAACTTTTTAAAGGTTTTTATATGACAATGAGATGAATCATTACATGTTTAAGGTTATTATATGACAGTTATTTGAAAAATTACTTTTTTAAGGTTATTATATGACAATGAGTTGAAAAATGACTTTTGTAAGGTTGTTATATGACAATGACTTGAAATATTGCATGTTTAAGGTTATTACATGACAATGAGTTGAAATATGACTTTTTTAAGGTTATTATATGACAATGAGTTGAAATATTACTTTTTTACGGTTATTATATGACAATGAGTTAAAATAAGACTGTTTAAAGGTTATTATAGGACAATTAGTTGAAATATGACTTTTTATGGCTATTATATGACAATTAGTTGAAATATGACTTTATTAAGGTTATTATATGACAATGAGATGAAATATGACTTTTTTAGGGTTATTATATGACAATGAGATGAAATATGACTTTTTTTTTGGCCTATTATATAACAATGAGTTGAAATATGACTTTAGTAAGAAATAAAACAAACAGTAGATTGTAGTAGAAACTACTACTAGTATTCATCTTTGGTAAGTTGGGATGAGTTAATGGCCTCATGAGCATATTACAGATGGATCGCCTTTTAGACCCATTTCCAGATTCTGGTCTTACCTGTTTTTGGCTGCTGCCGCTCGGTCCCTTTGCCTTCGGTTTTTGAACCAATTCCCTACTTGTGTTGGGGTAAGTCCAGTTGCCTGGGCCAGTTCTCTTTTTTTGCTGGGGTTTGGGTAGGGATCTTGTAGGTACCATTCCCTAAGCAAGTGCCGTGTTCTTTCTTTAAAGCAGTGTGTTTTCTGTTCTCCGTCCCAAATAGTTCTGGGCAGTGGGAACTTCTTCCTCACCCTGTACTTGTCTACCGGCCCCAAGGGTCTCCCCCGAAGCTTCTCAGCCTCCTGATAGTGAGCCTCCAACCACAGAGCCTGCAGCTTGGTGTGCGAATCCTTGGTGAATTTATGGTTCTCCAATATGTGGTAGAGGTCTCTGAAGTTGCCCGTGTGAAAAGCCACGATCGCCCTGGCTCGCAGAACGGACTCATTTTTATTGAGGGCCTCGCAGGCTGCTGGGGCCACCGGCAAAGACCAGAGAAAACGACCCAAACGCTCAATGTCCCCGCTCTCCTCCAGGGTCTCGCACACCCCAGCGACCTGCTGGGGGCTGAAGTTCAAAATGGGCAGCTGGAACATTGACGCTGCTTTTATTTTTTAGTTTTTTTTAATCTTATCTTGACGCAGATTCCAGCGAAGGAAGCAACGCCAGGCAGCGCGACGCTCACGCTGCAGATCTCTGCATGCACTTGCTAACTCCAAGAGCCAAGCTAAGGTATCACAGCCGATCTGCTGTTAAAGGGAAGAAGCTGCCCTGAGACAACAAACGATTTTCTATTGGACTTGGCAGATTGGCTGCTGGGTTGCCATGGCTCCTTGTCAATCAGTGTCAGCCTTTGCCAATCAAAGGCAAGCAACGGGGAGCTGTTTCAGCACCTCCCAGGGCTCGACAGCGCCCAGCCTTCTGCTCTCCCCGGCTCACAGTCCCAATGCACGGGGAATGCACATCCATGCCTGGATCATTGCTGCGACCCATGCGCTCCGCACTGAAATCAGATTAGACAAAACACCTAAAGCATTTCCCATCTTGTAGAGCAACTGGCATCCAATTAGAAAGGTGACTGTGCAGATGAAAATCCAACTGCAGTGATTCCCTATGTGGTACAAAGACAAGCTAGCCTCCTCTTTGCTGTCCATGTGATCCAAAATGACGACAAGGAAGCTTTGTAGCAATCCTAGTTCACCTTGTTACAAACTGTCATCTTCCTCCTACTATTCTCAGCACAGCTCCTGAGCTCCTGAGCTCCTGAGCTTTCCTCTGCAGTCACATTCACAGCAAACATACAATCATCACTCCTGTCTCTCCATCCATATTGTATTCTCTCTCTCTCTCTCTTTCTCTCTCTCTCTCTCTCTCTCTCTCAATTCCTGCTATTCAGCACAGTCTGATCTTTTCTCTGTAGTGACATTCAGAGCAAATATGTACAATCTTCCCTCCTGTCTCTCCATCCATATTGTACTCTCTCTCTCTCTCTCTCTCTCTCTCTCTCTCTCTCTCACTCTCTCTCCGGCTGTGTTGCATCAGAACAGCTCCATTGAACTTCTCATTGCATCCTGCCGTGCTCCTGCACACTTGTTGTCGAGCCATGTTCAATATTATCAGTTTAATGTTTAAAAAAAAAAAAAAATGATGCTTTTCATCTGAAATAAACGCTGAGCAGCTGGAGGGAGAGAAACAGATCCGAACCTTTAACCCTTTAGCTAGCACAAGGAGTCTTTAAACACTCCAGTGCCCATCAAGGGTTAAAAAAAACTACACCCCCGAGATAAACAAAAAAAGAAGATTAGCTATATCTGCCTAAATAAAAGGCACTATTGGTTCCAATAAGGGGCAATGAAGTGTTTTCAATGTCTTCTGCCCCTTTTCAAAGCAATGTCAGAAATCCAATACATACAAACATTCAGCATCTCTCTATTCCCACCGACAAAGGGGAGGCTTATTATTTGCATCCTATCTGCATGATCTGATTCTTGCTATTTCCAGTGCAACATGTCAAGAGTATTCTGTATTTGTGCCTCCCAGATCTCTTAAGCAAACAATTGCTGATGCCACAGAAGATAAGAAGGATACAAAAAAACACCCCCTCACTCTGGATGAAAGCAGCAATAGCAAGGAGATATGCAAGCGACTTTTATTTAGTATCAAGAACAATTTGTCTTTTGCTCGTGAAGATTTGGTAAATAAGAAGGCAGATAGATACCGCAGATGGTTGGAGGTGTCGGGTCGGATTAGGATACGCCTCGGTACAGTGCTAAGCTCATTCTGACGGAAAACCCTGATATTATTTTCACAGATCCACGCAGTTCACTTGAAAAAAAAACCTCCGAGCCATTTACATCATTTATGGGAGGCTCACAGCTAGCGGTATGAAAATGCTTTCAATACTGCTCATTTTCATAAAATCAGACAGCGAGGCCACAAGATCCCAATGCAAAATATGCGGGGCTTCACAGGGCTGGCCAGCAAAGGTCACAGGGGTGTACAGGGGAGCCCATAGACAGGACCAGAGCCCAGAAATGTTCATATTAGGACGTTTTCATAAAGGAATGAGATACGAGAGAGGGAGAGAGGGAGAGAGAGAGAGAGAGAGAGA